GCTCTCCCCCTGCCGGTGCATGCAATCGATCCTTCCAATCATCCCGGGGAACCCTCGAGCCTCGCCTTTTTGTAGAAGCCGTTGCAGGTCTCTTAGCGTGGGTTTGCGAAGGTACTCCATCGTGTACAAATTTTCCACTGCATCACAGAATCTCACCAAGCACTCTAGGACAGCAGATTTTCCCATCCTTGCAATCTCATCCACCTGCTCTGCAGATGCCCCATAAGCAAGCATCCGCAAAGCAGCTGTAAGTTTTTGCTCCGGGATAAGACCCAAAGCTCCATCAGCATCATGCTTTTGAATGAAGTATGTGTCGTAATTACAAATATCATGCATGATTTTTTGGAACAAATGTGGCTGCATTTTATATCTTTCTCGAAACTTAGAAGCAGGATATAACGAATTTGGGATAAAATAATCCTCCATGAGATTCTTACCCCGAGACTCCCTACGTCTGTCCACATTTGGGGCACGACGACGACAGTGTTGCCTTGATTGATCCATCATACACACCGTTGTTGCAAGCATTTGTTCCTCTTCTTCATCGGCGTCCCGATCTTCTTGAGCACGTCTACACCAGATTTCTTCCCTTCGTTTCTGTTGCCTCTCCAACACCCTCGATAAGTTTGACATTGAGAGTAGAATGTGTTTTCTAAAATATGAGAAATGAAGGAATAGATAAGAGATGGTGTGAGAGGTATGAGTTGATGGTGTAGTTTTATATAGGGATTTAGAATATAGAGATGACAATCTTCTTCTCCCTATCCTATGTTTATGTGGTGGGTTGCTTTGTTTTGTGTGCTTTTTGACATTTGTGCTTCGTGCTTCATTGGATTGGAAGTCTTCCCTTTTCCCTTTCTCACCCACCTCCCCATTTGAGCTATTCCTCTCCTAAATTTTATTTTTTGTTTTTTATATCAAGTACGAAATTGTCAGGAACAAAACCGAAGACCGATTGAAATGTAAAACAAGGAAAATTACAAAGGATTGGCTAGAGGCCCAATCAAATAGTTGGCTCACTCGACGGCCCTTAGATACTGAACTGGCCCAATTGAAACGATATTACTGCTGTCGTTTAATTTCGTTAGGATTCTGATTTTCCACAGACAGCGTATGCAATCTTATCCTAGACCCCCAATGGCGCTCTACAGGTCCGGTGGCGTTCTCATTTCGAGCCCAGCACTCGCTCCCTCCAAAACACCAATCTCAACCATTCACCTTCAACATTTCCCGACAATTTCCTCAAAACCCATATTCAAAAACACCACCGCAAAGCCACTAAGAGCCACGAAGACACCCCAGAAGTACGTGTACCCTGACCCAATCCCCCAATTTGCAGAATCTGTAAGTACGTTTCAAAATTAGTGCACTTTTTTTTTTTTTTTGGGAGTTCGAAATTGAATGCATGTTGTGTAACTGGCTTGACTTGTTTGTTGTGGCCTTGTGGTTGCAGTAGACCCAGAAGTTCAAGGCTGAGCTTTCCAGGAAGCTGTTGAAGGACAAGGAGACTTTTGGGGATGACCTCCATGGCGTCATAGGCGTTTGTTCATAGGTATGTTTTGATGAAGATGACAAGTATTCTTAGCTGCACTGACATTGGTAGGTGTAAATTTCAGAAAATGATGCTCTGTGTTTTCACAAGCTCAGAGTTATAGGAATTATGAAGAATGAATAGATCACAAGTTGGCCCATCAAAAGTAATGGGCTTGGGCTTGTAGACATTTTTGTTTATTTTCAATTTTTTAACTAAACTATAAAGAGGGAGATTCGAACTTGAGTGCACAGTGAGAAGCACATCAGCTCTAACCAACTTAGCTAAGCCCATGTTTGCTTCCCTTTTCAAAGTTTTAATTTCTTTTTTCCATATATATTATAAACATTAAGATTGAGGTTATAAAGTCATTAAAAGAAGGGAGTTTCACTAAAACACCCAAAATGGAGGTTGAAATTATAAAAAACCCCAACACCCAAAACACTTTATAGAATTAATAATTGGGGTCTTTGGGTGCAACTTTTTTGGTGCGAGCCACCCTTATCTGAATCAGCAAAGATTTGTTTCCTTTCTTTTCTGTGGTGAGGTTTGAGTTTGCCCTGACCTGTAAACCGTACAATAATTGAGCCCCTAGACAAATATCTGACCCGACTCCATTATACTATTTTCCGGACAGCTTCCATCAAATTGTTCTAACTTTCTGTGCACGTTTACCTTCACGCTGGCAATGTTTTGACTTATTACGACCTATATGCGGTGCATGAAGCTAAAGTTAGATCTGCATAACTATTTGAACTATTCAGAATCAACTCATTTAACATGTTGGTTTAATCAAACCAGATATTCAGTGAGTTCTTTCTCAAGGAGTATGGAGGACCGGGGACATTATTGGTGGAGCCTTTCACCGATATGCTGGTTGCTCTCAAGGAGAAGGAATTACCAGGAGCACCTTTGGCTGCAAGGGCATCTCTGTTATGGGCTCAAAGCTATTTAGATCAAGACTGGGAAATTTGGAACTCAAAATCACCAAACTAATGTTGTTTCTTCATTTACAATCCACACAAGTCTAAATTGTTCATTTGGTGTTTTATTTCTCCAGATTATTTATATATATATATATATCAAACACAAAAAACTGCAAAGACCCAAAACTCCCACTTCTAATACAATGTCAGATTCAGTGGTTTTTGTGTTGCTATACATGATGATGATGTCTTATTGCTTTGAACATGGGTTGAATTGGGGCCATGTGGTTGTGGTTGACATTGGATTAGAAAACTTAGTGTGGGGACCAAATCTCACGTGTCATGGCTTAACCCATATGCCACAACTAAAAAACGTGGGATGATCCAACTTCCCTCCCACTAGAGAAGTGAGGAGCGAGGGAGACACAAATCGGTCATCTAATCCCCATTACCTATGAAGTGGAGGACGAGATGCGTAAAGCTACGGAAGTGTGGCTAAACCGAAGAACTCGAAGCACTATAAAAACCCGGCTAGACCTCCAGCAAAGGGACGAAAAATTCAACTGAACACTAAGAGTACGCTGCACAAACACTAACTTGAGCATCGGAGTGACTTTTGCAGGTGCTTATCCCATTTCCACCGTTTGTCCTCGGGAACGGAATTCAGAGTTCTCTTTCAACCAAGGAAGTGTGCGAACTTTAGTCAAGAACTTGTGGAGGTATTTCTTCTTGAAAGAAATCATACTCCATGAAGCATGGGGTATTGGAGTCCATCTGGGATCGGTTAGCAAGGAGAAACCAAGAAGTATGGGGCCAATCGGATCGACAGAAGCCTAAAACCAAGCGCACCCCAATTGGGGTCCATTTGGGATCGGCTAGCAAAGGGAAAACAAGGAGCATGGGGCCCATCAGATCGGCAAAAGCTTAAAACTAAGCGCACCCCAGTTGGGGTCCATCTGGGATCGGTTAGCAAAAGAGAAAAATGCACATGGGCCCACCAGATCGGTTACAGTGCAAAGAAAAATAAAAGAAATTTGCATGGGAACCGTCTAGGATCGGCTAGAGTGAGAAAAGTTCAAAACTATTAAGGCCATGCGGGATCGGTAGAGGTGCAAAAATCCAAAATAAAGAAAATGGTCCACTTGTGCATGGGATTGGCTGTCCGTACTTGGATATTCCACATGTTGATAACAGTCCACAGTTGAAATTTGAAAAGTCAGCAACGTGCATGAAAATTCATATTTGGATATTTCACATGCAGGTGTGAAAGCAACATGCATGGGTTGGTAATAGTCCAATAGGAATCATATTTTTGGGTTTGACCAGCAAGGGCAAGAAAAAAAAAGAAAAAAAAAAGAATCGTGAACACCTTGGATCAGTTGAGAAACCAAAGGTGCACGGGTCCGAAAGGACGACTTAAGGGTATTGGGGCCTGCATGGTTGGCTCAAGCGCAAGAAAAAAAAAGGTCATGAACACCTTGGATAAGTTGAGAAACCAAAGGCGCACGGCTTCGGAAGGACAGCTCAGGGGTACTGGGGCCCGCATGGACGACTCAAGCACAAGAAAAAAAAAAGAAAAAAAAAGGTCATGAACGCCTTGGACCAGTTGAGAAACCGAAGGTGCACGGGTCCGGAAGGACAACTCAAGGGTATTGGGGCCCGTATGGATGGCTCAAGTGCAAGAAAAAAGAAAAAAAAAGAAAAGAAAAAGTGGTGGACACCTTGGATCAGTTGAGAAATTGAAGGTGCATGGGTCCGAAATGATAGCTTAGGAGTATTGGGGGCCTCTTGGACGGCTCAAGTGCAAGCAAAAAAAACAAGGTCGTGAACACCTTAAGTCAGTTGAGAAATCGAAGGCGCACGGGTTCGGAAGAACAGCTCAGGGGTATTGGGGCCTGTATGGACTGGTCAAGCGCAAGAAACAAGAAAAAAAGAAGAAAAAAAAGAAGAAGAAAAAAAAGGGTCATGGACACCATGGATCAGTTGAGGAACCAAAGGCGAACATGTCCGGAAGGACAGCTCAGGGGTATTGGAGTCCATATGGGATCGGTTAGCAAAGAGAAACCAAGAAGCATGGAGCCCACCAGATCGGCAGAAGCCTAAAACCAAGCGCACCCCAACTGGGGTCCATTTGGGATCGGCTAGCAAAGAAAAAGCAAGGAGCATGGGGCCCATCGGATCAGCAAAAGCTTAAAACCAAGCGCACCCCAACTGGGGTCTATAAAAAAGTCGTGGACACCTTGGATCAGTTGAGAAACTGAAGGCGGATGGGTCCGGAAGGACAGCTCAAGAGTATTGGGGCCCTCATAGACAGCACAAACGCAAGCAAAAAAAAAATCGTGAACACATTGGATCAGTTAAGAAACCGAAGACACACGGGTTCGGAAGGACAGCTCAAGGGTATTGGGGCTTGTATGGACCGCTCAAGCGCAAGAAAAAAAAATTAAAAAAAAAAAGGTCATGGACACCTTGGATCAGTTGAGGAACCGAAGGCGCACGGGTCCGGAAGGACAGCTCAGGGGTATTAGAGTCCATCTGGGATCGGTTAGCAAAGAGAAACCAAGAAGCATGGGGCCTACTGGATCGGCAGAAGCCTAAAACCAAGGGCACCCCAACTGAGGTCCATTTGGGATCGGCTAGCAAAGAGAAAGCAGGGAGCATGGGGCCCATCGGATCGGCAAAAGCTTAAAACCAAGCACAGTCCAACTGGGGTCCATCTGGGATCGGTTAGCAAAGAGAAAAATGTGCATGGGCTCGCCGGATCGGTTGCTAAGAGAAATTTACATGGGACCCGTCTGGGATCGGCCGGAGTGAGAAAAGTTCAAAACTGTTGAGGCCATGTGGGATTGGCGGAGGTGCAAAAATCCAAAATCAAGAAAATGGTCCACTTGCACATGGGATTGGCTGTCTGCACTTGGATATTCCACATGGGGATAACAGTCCACAGTTGAAACTTGAAAAGTCAACAACGTGCATGAAAATTCATACTTGAATATTTCACATGCAAGGTGTGAAAGCAACATGCATGGGTTGGTAATAGTCCAATAGGAATCATATTTTTGGGTTTGACCAGCAAGGGAAAGAAAAAAAGAAAAAAAAAAGTGGGTCGTGAACACCTTGGATCAGTTGAGAAACCGAAGGTGCATAGGTCCGGAAGGAAAGCTCAGCGGTATTGGGGCCCGCATGGATGGCTCAAGCGCAAAAAAACAGGTTGTGAACACCTTGGATAAGTTGAAAAACCGAAGGCACACGGGTCCAGAAAGACAGCTTAAGGGTATTAGGGCCCGCATGTACGGCTCAAGCGCAAGGAAAAAAAAAAGGTCATGAACGCCTTGGATCAGTTGAGAAATCGAAGGTGCACGGGTTCAGAAGGATAGCTCAGGGGTATTGGGGCCCGCATGGACGGCTCAAGTGCAAGAAAAAAGAAAAAAAAGAAAAAAATAAGGTCGTGGACATCTTGGATCAGTTGAGAAACTGAAGGCGCATGGGTTCGGAACGACAGCTCAGGAGTATTGGGGCCTTTATGGACGACTCAAGCGCAAGCAAAAAAAAAAAAGTTGTGAACACCTTGGATTAGTTGAGAAACCGAACGGGCACGAGTCCGAAAGGACAGTTAAGGGGTATTGGGGCCTGGATGGACGACTCAAGCGCAAGAAAAAGGAAAAAAAGAAAAAAAGGAAGAAAAAAAAAGGGTCATGGACATCTTGGATCAGTTGAGGAACTGAAGGCGCACGGGTCTGGAAGGACAGCTCGGGGGTATTAGAGTCCATCTGGGATCGGTTAGCAAAGAGAAACCAAGAAGCATGGGGCCCACCGGATCAACAGAAGCCTAAAACCAAGCGCACCCCAACTGGGGTCCATTTGGGATCGGCTAGCAAAGAGAAAGCAAGGAGCATGAGGCCCACTGGATCAGCACAAGCTTAAAACCAAGCGTACCCCAATTGGGGTCCATCTGGGATCGGTTAGCAAAGAGAAAAATGTGCATGGGCCCACCGGATCGGTTGCATTGCGAAGGAAAATAAGAGAAATTTGCATGGGACCTGTCTAGGATCGGCTGGAGTGAGAAAAGTTCAAAACTGTTGAGGCCATGTGGGATCGGCAAAGGTGCAAAATTCCAAAATAAACAAAATGGTCCACTTGCACATGAGATTGGCTGTTCGGACTTGGATATTCTACATGGGGATAACAGTCCACAGTTGAAACTTGAAAAGTCAACAACGTGCATGAAAATTCGTATTTAGATATTTCACATGCAAGGTGTGAAAGCAACATGCATGGGTTGGTAATAGTCCAATATGAATCATATTTTTGGGTTTGACCAACAAGCCCAAGAAGAAAACGTATGGCTTATTTGGGCTCAGCCATGAGCCCATCATGACATCATGCGCTCAATGCCAAGAAATCCTGTTCCAAAGTCCCATTTAAATCATTTTTCTCTCTCCACCCGCGAAGCGTGTAGAGAGGAAAAAAGGGGGGCACTATGGGGACCAAATCTCACGTGTCATGGCTTAACCCATATGCCACAACTAAAAGACGTGGGATGATCGAACTTCCCTCCCACTAGAGAAGTATGGAGCGAGGGAGACACAAATCAGTCATCTGATCCCATTACCATGAAGTGGAGGATGGGATGCGCAAAGCTAGGAAAGAGGGGCTAAACCCAAGAACTCGAAGCGCTATAAAAACCCGGCTAGACCTCTAGCAAAGGGACGAAAAATTCAATTGAACACTAAGAGTACGCTACACAAACACTGACTTGAGCGTCGGAGCGACTTTTGCAGGTACTCCCATTTCCACAGTTCGTCCTTGGGAACGTAATCCGGAGTTCTCTTTCAACCAAGGAAGCGTACGGACTTCAGTCAAGAACGTGTGGAGGTACACTCACTATACTGCCTACTATGCATTTTGCTGCTGAAACTTTGAACCATTGATCAGCTAACACCCTCGGAGATGCTCTGCAATGAGGGGCGCCAAGACTTTGACCTCAGTGCAGCAGCAGCAGCAGCATTCGCCGTCCTCGGTCGGTGCCTTTTGCATTTTGTTGCCTGAAATTTTTTTGACATGGTGAAAGCATTAGTATTTCTGACTTGTCACCAGTAGTTCAGAATCAAAGATTAAAAGTGTTGTTTTGGGTGATTGCTCTTGTTCAATTTCTCATCACAGATGAGGATGTCCAAAAAGAAAGCACAGAAAACAAACTAAGATGACGATTGCTTGATGAAATGAAATGACATACATGGTTGATATTCTCCTTCTCAGACTTCCCTTCTTCTGCCTCATCACAACCTGAACTCTGTTTCTCTTGCCTGCTTGCAACTTCTCAAGTGTTTCCAGCTGCTGCTTCTTTGTTTTTGCATGCTTCTTTGTCCTCAGCACCTTCACAACCTCTACAACCACAAACAAAAACCAAACATCAATTAAAGACTCTTCAAACCCTACAGCCTCATACTCCAAATATATATTTACACACAAAACAGAAGTATACCTTGAGTTGTGACCAACCGATAGGCATGGCCAAGAGCAAGAGTTTCGTTGGGTCTAAGAAGCTTAACACGATTGAAACGCAGAGTCTTGTTGTGCTCCTGGCTCTCTACCTCTTCCTGATGTTGATCAGAAACCCAAATTCATTATCAAAAAGCAAAAAACAAATTTCGATTTCTGGTTTTAACGTTCCATCCCATTTAAAATAGGTATGTTTTATGGTTTAAAGAAGTGGGTTATCTTAAATTATGGGGAAGAATTTTGTTCCAATTATTTCCAATTCGAGTATTATTCTACGTATTATAATTAGTTCACTAATTTTAAGAAATTAAAACTTGCCCCTTGTCACCGCTCACAAAGTTAAGTCATAGCTCTTTGAATTAGGGTTTATTCTCATCTCCGTGTGTAGCCCATGGCCGCAGCGAGCTTTCTTGGAACCCACCTAACAATTACTGCCATAGCAACCAAGCTGCACTCTCCTATTTGCCACTGTTCTCTAACTAGAACTCCAAAACCCTCACGCCTGCTGCCGATGGTAAATAACGGAAGAGCCAAGGGCAAGATGGAAGCGTCGTCGACATTATTCAAGTACAACAAAAGAGATCAGAGCGACATGGACATCTTTGATTCCGCGGAGGAGGAGCACGAGCAGTTCGTGCGGTGGTTTCGGGAGGCTTGGCCCTACTTGTGGGCCCACCGCGGAGGCACTTTCGTCATCATCATATCCGGCGAAGTTGCGTCAAACCCAAACTACTTAAACCCTCTTCTCAAGGACATTGCCTTTCTCCATCACTTGGGGATCAGGTTCGTTCTTGTTCCAGCCACCGACGTAGAGATCCATAAACTTCTGGCAGGCAGAGGAAAGAAGCCAGAGTTCGTCGGTCCTTACATAGTCACCGACCCGGAAACCCTAGACGCCGCAAAGGAGGCGTCCGGGCTTATTTGTTCGAACATAGAGGCAGTTCTTTCCGCAGGGCCCTCCATATCCAACATCCGACTTCGACATGGCAGCGATAGCAGCCGTCTTCATGACGTCGGCGTGAGCGTTGCAAGCGGCAACTTTGTTGCGGCCAAAAGAAGAGGAGTTGTTACCGGTGTTGATTATGGGGAAACCGGCGAGGTTAAGAAAGTGGACGTCCGTCGGATCCGCGAGAGGCTCGACGGTGGCGATTGCATTGTGTTGTTGCGCAACATAGGCTATTCCAGTTCCGGCGAGTCTTTGAATTGCAACACTTATGAGGTTGGAACGGCTTGCTCCCTTGCTATTGAAGCAGACAAGCTCATCTGCATAATGGACGGCCCGATTCTCGACGATAAGCGTCTCATTCGGTTCCTCACTCTTGAAGAGGCGGAGGCAGAGGCAGACATGTTGATTCAAAAGCGAAAGCAAGAGCACCACCAAGGTTTAGGTTTTGCTGTTGGGGGTTATGAGAGGCAGCAACAAAGCCATCGGTTAAATGGCTACATTTCAGAACTGGCTGCTGCAGCCTTTGTTTGCAGGGGAGGGGTTGAGAGAGTTCATCTCTTAGATGGAACTAAGGGCGGTGTTTTGTTGTTGGAGTTGTTTAAAAGAGATGGGGTGGGGACGATGGTTGCAAGCGACGTTTACCAAGGAACCCGAATGGCCACAGAGTCAGATTTCTCTCGAGTGAGAGAATTTATACAAGCTTCAGAAGCTTCTGGAGAACTGGTTAGGAGAAGTGATGAGGAGCTGCTTGAGATGATATTGCTGGATTGCTTCGCTGTTGTTGAAAGAGAAGGTCAAATCGTTGCGTGTGCTGCTCTAGTTTCTTTCTCGGAAGAAAAATGTGGGGAGGTTGCTTCTTTTGCAGTTTCTATTGACTGCCGTCAACAGGGGCAGGGACATAAGCTTCTTGATTACATTGAGAAGAAGGCAACTTGTCTCGGATTGGACAAGCTCTTCTTGCTTACAACTAGAGCTTTCGATTGGTTCAAGAGACGTGGGTATTTTGAATGTTCAATTGAATCAATACCCGAGAAGAGGAGGGGAAAGATTAATCTGTCCCGTGGATCCAAGTATTTTATGAAGCAGCTATAGTATATGAAATGCTTTTGACATGTGAACGCAAATGAAATCACGTTCAAATGATAATATATCAAGTTTCCGATGTGATACTTTACATTAATCAACATTAACAATATTATTATTATGCTACATAGAACTATGCATGTGTTATATATATATATATATATATATGCAACTTACCTCATGAGTCATGGCCATACATTTTGTAGTTGTCATGCTCTTCCTACGAAGGAACACAGTAGGAGTTTAATTTTTCTCTTTTTTTCTTTTTATGTACAAAGGCAGACCAAGTGATTGATTCACAGTCTGACTCCGCAGAAAAGCTTTTTTCAATTTTTCTTGGATTTTAATTTGATTTATTGACCTATTTGTAAATTTTCTTTCTGTTTTGGTCTCTGAGGTTTCTTGGTTGTTTGCGTGAGGGGATTGCACTTTGACAATGTTTGGCAGTGAAAGTTTGCTTCAGCTTTCTGCTCTCTCATTTTAAGGTCCATCTCTTTTTGCGCTTGGCTTGGTTTTGGTTTGGTTTCATCGTAATTTCTTTACTTCACTATTCTTCTTCTTCCTCTTCTTCTCCCTATCCTATGTTTATGTGGTGGGTTGCTTTGTTTTGTGTGCTTTTTGACATTTGTGCTTCGTGCTTCATTGGATTGGAAGTCTTCCCTTTTCCCTTTCTCACCCACCTCCCCATTTGAGCTATTCCTCTCCTAAATTTTATTTTTTGTTTTTTATATCAAGTACGAAATTGTCAGGAACAAAACCGAAGACCGATTGAAATGTAAAACAAGGAAAATTACAAAGGATTGGCTAGAGGCCCAATCAAATAGTTGGCTCACTCGACGGCCCTTAGATACTGAACTGGCCCAATTGAAACGATATTACTGCTGTCGTTTAATTTCGTTAGGATTCTGATTTTCCACAGACAGCGTATGCAATCTTATCCTAGACCCCCAATGGCGCTCTACAGGTCCGGTGGCGTTCTCATTTCGAGCCCAGCACTCGCTCCCTCCAAAACACCAATCTCAACCATTCACCTTCAACATTTCCCGACAATTTCCTCAAAACCCATATTCAAAAACACCACCGCAAAGCCACTAAGAGCCACGAAGACACCCCAGAAGTACGTGTACCCTGACCCAATCCCCCAATTTGCAGAATCTGTAAGTACGTTTCAAAATTAGTGCACTTTTTTTTTTTTTTTTGGAGTTCGAAATTGAATGCATGTTGTGTAACTGGCTTGACTTGTTTGTTGTGGCCTTGTGGTTGCAGGAGACCCAGAAGTTCAGGGCTGAGCTTTCCAGGAAGCTGTTGAAGGACAAGGAGACTTTTGGGGATGACCTCCATGGCGTCATAGACGTTTGTTCACAGGTATGTTTTGATGAAGATGACAAGTATTCTTAGCTGCACTGACATTGGCAGGTGTAAATTTCAGAAAATGGTGCTCTGTGTTTTCATAAGCTCAGAGTTACAGGAATTATGAAGAATGAACAGATTACAAGCTGGCCCATCAAAAGTAATGGGCTTGGGCTTGTAGACATTTTTGTTTATTTTCCAACTTCCAAGCTGATTTTTTGTTAAGGTAATGAGAACATTCAAGTTCTGCCTAAGAAGGTACCATAATAAAGAGCTGGTGCAAGTGGGTTGTTTGGTTTACAATTATTATTCTGAACTTGTGGTAATTGGTTGCCAATGTGACATGTGGTCCTAGCATTCATGGTATCCCTGTGTGTTGGATTTTATTTCTGACTCATTTATTTGCCAACCCTGGGAAAATCAGGTTTGAAAATACTATGTGAAAGGACAATTTGCTTAAACACTAAACCTCCTTTCTTTTGGAAGGGTGATTGATTCTATTGGCACACAAAATGTTTATCTAGAAACCTTACTCACTTTTTAATTCCAAGTTCAAGCCATGGCTGGCTGGAGGGGGAAAGGGATATGAGAGATTTCCTTTTCAATTTTTTAACTAAACTACAGGGAGGGAGATTCGAACATGAGTGCATAGTGAGGAACACATCGGCTCTAACCAACTTAGCTAAGCCCATGTTTGCTTCCCTTTTCAAAGTTTTAATTTCTTTTTTCCATTTATATTATAAATACATTAAGATTGAGGTTATAAAGTCATTGAAAGAATTAATAATTGGGGTCTTAGGGTGCAACTGTTTTGGTGCGAGCCACCCTTATTTGAATCAGCAAAGATTTGTTTCCTTTCTTTTCTGTGGTGAGGTTTGAGTTTGCCCTGACCTGTAAACCATACAATAATTGAGCCCCTAGACAAATATCTGACCCGACTCCATTATACTATTTTCCGGACAGCTTCCATCAAATTGTTCTAACTTTCTGTGCACGTTTACCTTCACGCTGGCAATGTTTTGACTTATTACGACCTATATGCGGTGCATGAAGCTAAAGTTAGATCTGCATAACTATTTGAACTATTCAGAATCAACTCATTTAACATGTTGGTTTAATCAAACCAGATATTCAGTGAGTTCTTGCTCAAGGAGTATGGAGGACCTGGGACATTATTGGTGGAGCCTTTCACTGATATGCTGGTTGCTCTCAAGGAGAAGGAATTACCAGGAGCACCTTTGGCTGCAAGGGCATCTCTGTTATGGGCGAATATATATATATATATATATATATATATATATATATCAAACACAAAAAGCTGCAAAGACCCAAAACTCACACTTCTAATACAATGTCAGATTCAGTGGTTTTTGTGTTGCTATACATGATGATGATGTCTTATTGCTTTGAACATGGGTCGAATTGGGGCTCTGTGGTTGTGGTTGACATTGGATTAGAAAACTTGGTTCCCAAACTCCATGAATTTTGGGTTCTCAATCTATTTTTCCATGCTCCAGGATTGCGTGCACCTGGATATGAAGAAACTGAAGGAGCCAGTCCATTTTACACTCACTCTACTGCCTACTCTGCGTTTTGCTACTGAAACTTTGAACCATTGATCAGCTCACACCCTCAGAGATGCTCTGCAATGAGGGGCGCCAAGACTTTGACCTCAGTGCAGCAGCAGCAGCAGCATTCGCCGTCCTTGGTCGGTGCCTTTCCCGTTTTGTTGCCTGAAATTTTTTGACATGGTGAAAGCATTAGTATTTCTGACTTATAACCAGTAGTTCAGAATCAAAGATTAAAAGGGTTGTTTTGGTGATTGCTCTTGTTCAATTTCTCATCACAGATGAAGATGACCAGAAAGAAAGCACAGAAAACAAACTAAGATGACAATTGCTTGATGAAATGAAACGACATACATGGTTGATATTCTCCTCCTCAGACTTCCCTTCTTCTGCCTCATCACAACCTGAACTCTGTTTCTCTTGCCCTGCTTGCAACTTCTCAAGTGTTTCCAGCTGCTGCTTCTTGGTTTTTGCGTACTTCTTTGCCCTCAGCACCTTCACAACCTCTATAACCACAAACAAAAACCAAACATCAATTAAAGACTCTTCAAACCCAACAGCCTCATACTCCAAAATATATTTACACACAAAACAGAAGTATACCTTGAGTTGTGACCAGCCGATAGGCATGGCCAAGAGCAAGAGTTTCGTTGGGTCTAAGAAGCTTAACACGAGTGAAACGCACAGTCTTGTTGTGCTCCTGGCTCTCTACCTCTTCCTGATGTTGATCAGAAACCGGCAATGGAATGATCAAAGAAACATAGTGACCAGGGTTCAATCTCATCACCTCGCTTGCACTGATGGGCCAATACATCCTCTCTATCTTCCCACTTGGATGTTGTACCACCAGAGCTGCAGCATCAATAGCCTGACAGTTTCCCATCTCTCTGTCTCTCTGTCTCTCTGTCTCTCTGTCTCTCTCTAGAAACCAATGAAAGATGAAGAAGAAGAAGAAGAAGACGAAGGTAGAGATAAGGAAGAAGAAGAATGAATAGGAGAGGTGGAAGAAGCAGAAGTCACTTTCTATACAGCTCCTCTCAGTCCGAACCCCACACCCAATGATTTAAGTAAAAATGGGTTAAGCTTAAAAGTGTCTAAAAATTCAAGCAAAGGCCGTCCTTCCCCAACTAACTCATGCTACGTGCATCAATTTAAACCAAATTCACATTAAAACATCATGTCTAAAATAAAAATCCCAATAGTTTTTTAGATTAGCACTAGTACTAATGACTCCGAGATTAAGCAAAGATAACAAGGATTATTATATATGACACATTGACAACCACCGGCATGGGATTTGGAAGCGGGTTTGGTGCCACGTGGAGAGATGTCAGATGGTAGTGATTTGGAAGGACACACTCGGCGCTGTCGACGGGGTCAAGGTTTTCAGACTTGGGAAAAATCGAAGTTCCTAATTAATGTAAAAATGATTAAATTATGTGACCAACTATTTCTGACCAAAACGGCAAGACGGGCACAGCGTGCGTGCGTACGTGCGGTGAAGATTCTTTTGCGTTGATCAGACACCATGGACAACGACATCCTACCCCCTCATCTCATCACACACACTTTGGTTCCTTTGCTAGGCTCTAGCTCTTTGTACTGTTTGGTTGATGGGAAAATGGTGGGAAAAAGACAAGTTTCAAATGTGAATACCATTGGAACTTCAGCTTTATACGCATTAGCCAGTTCATATTCTCTAGTTTTTGAATTTATCTATGAGTATAGTGTATAGTATAGATAGTACTACTCATTGGAGATGGGAGCTAATATGCATATAAAGCAAAGCAACCCACTCATATGTCTTTTCTTTGTGTGGAATATTTAACACACCATGCACAACTTTTCGTACAAGCTTCAGAGTCAAATGCAATGCAATTTGAGTCGGATCCAAGGGATATCTCAAAGTACTTAACTACTAATTATGTGTGTATTTATTTCATCACGTGATTAGTGATACAAGATTTTCGTCCAACAGGCCAGTTGCCATCCTTATCAAGAAGTTTAGGTTTCACTATTCTTTAAAAAAGAATGAAAATTAAGGATGTGGACAAGCACATACAACAAAAACAATCGTTTTAATCCACTTATATATAAAAAATAAAAAATAAATTGCAGGACTGAGGATGAGAATATCACATCTTACCCCCAAAAAAGAAAAAAGTGAGAAAATCACTGAAGTGGACTGCCAGAATCAATCTTGTATAAATTTTTGGGAGCAAACCCTCCTGACTCTTCAACATCTCTGGTCACACAGTCGATTTTCGAACCCCAGATTTTAGACAAGGTGAACATAAAAATTGACCAAATGAAGAATGAAAATCTTAAAATTTTCTGTTCTATCCTTAAAATATATTTATCATTGGATAATGAGCAAAAGCCTGACCAAGTTAAGAGAGAGGTGGAAATCCTCGCTGACAATCTTTGACTACTGTAAATGTGGTTTAACTTAAACTAATTATATATATATATATATATATATATCTGAGTTTAATTAAAAACCATCTAAACATGTAATGTAAACATCCCATGGTTAATGTCAGTGTGTGTAAGCCATGTGAGGTGTTGCAGATTTTCTGGCACTCATATTTAATGAGAATGGACTATTTCTTGTTCAAACACCCAATAATTTTATATACACCAAACGGCCCTTATGGCATTGGTTGTGACAGTCATTAATATTTAATAAAATTATTATAAGCCTATCAATTCAAATAATAATAATAATAATTGTCCATGGATTGCAGCCTGTGGGGGCGGCAAGATTAGGTCTTGAATGTCTGTTCCTTGCTTCCTCTTGCCTTTTAAACATTCTTGAAATCTAATTAAAACCTTCGCCAACAACCAGTTGACTCTCTGAAAGGGTCTCGTTTAATTAGTGGGGTTGTTCTTATTGTTCTTTTCTTCTTGTTTTGGACACATGGTTTTCAATGTGTCTTTCTCCACATTCTTCCCCCCCAACCCCATGATACTAAACACAAACTATCCATTCTCAGTTTAAAATTTTATTTTCTTCTTTTCTTTAAACAATGGAATGAATCAGGTTGTCGAAGATCCCCACGACACAACAAAAATAAAATTTAGGAAACAAGAGGAAACTGTTACTGATGTCACTTGCTGTTAATGATGTTCATGCATTAGTCTTGAAGATCTACTTCGAATTTAGGTTTCAGTACAATTGGTACAGAACTAGATTAATGGTATTTTAGGACATGTTGGAATATAATAAACTCTGTGTGACTTGTAAGTGAGGCATATACAGTTCACATGGGGAACCATGTGAGTGTTATATAAGGACAGTTGCGATTTTTAGGACCACTGTGAGGTCTTTTTCTTACTGGGGAGCCCTTCAATTTAGAGGTCAAAAGAGTTGGCCGGTCACACAGCATTTTTACTGCGTACGGTAAATGGTAACCAAATATTACAGTAAAAACTAGACTTGAAGTTTGATCTTTTAGGCTAAACTAGCCTGTTATTCTGTTTGTAATTTTTTACAACAGTTTAGATTAAGAGGGAGGTTATTGTAATTTGCCCTGCTTTGAGAAGAGCCAGCCAAGCTAACATGTATATATAAAACCTTAGAAGATGCTTCTTTTTATGCTAATCTTCTCCCTCATAAAACCAAATTTTAGTGCTTCTTTGTCATTGTTTCCCAAGGGTACTCTTCACGAACACATTATTGAAAAGCATGATATCATAATCAATAATCGTATATTCTTTATTTCAAATAAAGCATCTAATGGTTCTTAACTAGACACCATTGCACTACAGTTAGTGGAAGAACCCCTTTTTTTTTTCTTTCTAAAATAAGGGTTTTCTTTAATTCATAGTGGAAATAACTTTTAACAGAAAAATATCATCAATCTTTTTTTAGTACAAGCGATAGTTTAAACTAAAGATGATGAGAATTTCTCTCACACACACACAATTAAGATGTCATGAAGGTTCGAACCTGAGACCTCTTGTCTGCAAGTCATGACCCTTTTCCTCTTGTTTGAACTTGAGATCATCAATCTTTAGCATTGAGGATGAGATTTTTGTTATAAAGGTGGTCATACGTATCAAAACACTATCAAAGATGTAGCACTAATGTTAATTAGGCACCAGGATCTTCACTAATATCTTAAGTTAAAAGGAAATCTCTTTTCTTCAGAGATTAAGCCTTTTTCTTTTGATATGTTAGAACCACACCCAGGATATGATTTTGTATTATCATTTTGACAACTTTCTAAAATCATAATGGGTCAACAACAGTGGTTGATCAGCTCGAGGTAATAATATGTCCTAAAATCAAAATGTTTATTTTATTTTCTCTCTCAAAGAACATTAGATAATTTGGCTCTAAACAAATTTATGTTTTCTGACTTATCAGGAACAGTCTTGCTGTATACATCTTTCTTTGATGTTTACCGGCAAATTCATGCATGATAAAAGTTATTTAACACTTTATAAAACTTTTATGATTTATGATTGCAATGGTTCCTTGGCATAATCTGCGCATCAGACAGAACAAATGGGACTTGAGAGTTGAATTATTGATTCAGCATAAAGATACCCTCGTCCGTCCATGGCCTTGAAGAAATCTGAAATGGACACAAGCATTTGTGGTGGTCACCATGTCACCCCTATGAGTCTTGGTTAAATCACATCAAAATTGGCCTGTCTTGGTTTTTAGAGACACATTAACAACATAATAGGCTAATTCCTTGCCTTAATAGGAATCTGTTCTACCTAATAAATCTTGGTGGTGTTATCTTTTTTCTTCTAATCTATGCTTTTTGAAGTAAATAGAGCAATTAGGGGGCCAAAACCTATTTTCTTTTGCTTTTGCAAAATGGGCCTCTGTCTGTACCCAGCTGAGCTTTTTCTAGAAAGCTTAGAGCCCAAGATACAGCTGGGTTTTCTTAGTTCTTACACTTCATTGAGAAACGTGGCAAAAAAATTGCTGTAAAAAACCACACACCATGGCTGGCTCATGAGAAAGCTGTTAGAGATAATAAAAGAAAGTGATCAAAGAGGTTAGAGAAGAGAGGGGTTGTTGGTTTGGCCAATGCAGCAATGCTGAAGGCCCCTCATCCTTATTTGCTGTGGTGCGTCCCTTTACCTTATTTGCTGCCTAACTTTCCCAAAATAAAGGTGGAAATGGAACCAATCCAGGACAGCTTGTCGTTTTTAAATTCTAGTTGTTGTTGCTAATCTGAAGTGTCTGTGAGGTCCTAATTGTAAGGTGGTAGGAGCCATGTGGCGCAACAAATGAATTTTCTCATGCACAATCCAGTCACATGCAAATGCAGGAAAGTAAAACTCCCAGTTGGTATTTGGAGAAAGGGGACTTGCTAGAACAAAGATTTTTCGTTTAAAGTACTATTGTGTTCTTCCTTGGAGTTAATAAAAAGATTAGGAGGAAACAAAACATCCATGTTCTCTAGTGTGATGCACACATTTTTGAGATACTGTGCGACCACTTGACTCTGTTCACTGAAGCACCCCAATTTGACGATCACACTGAGGGGAAGAACTTGTTGAGGTTGAAAGGCAGGGAATAGAATTCCTCACTTCTTGTATCCGTCTTAAATGATCGGAATCTATCCCACCAATGCATGCCACGATCTTTCCTCGTTGCACTGTCATTGCGATGCAGCGTGATGTCCAAGAATAGGCCCAGGAAACCGGCAACAAATGCTTCCGATGAGAAAGGAACATTCACCATATCATTGAACTGCAAAAACATAAGGAAAAATGAGTGATTAAGTCTTTTGCATGAGACATGGGACTGAAACAAGAAAATATAATAGTGTTAAGAAGTTTAAAAGAGGATAGGAATGGTTTCATACCCATCTTGCGCCAGTGTGCACAGGGCCGTAGCCTTTAACAAGGGTGTATTCATTGAAGTATTGTGGTATTGACAAGCCCATGTAAATAGAGAACCCTAAAATAAATTTCGTCCTAAAACTGTTCAGATTGCAAAACTGAAGCAAGGTAAGACCTGCTGAACCTGCTCGTGCACACAATTATGGAGAAATGCATTAATTGACCTTCAACTGAGGTTTATAATCAAAATCCGACTCATCAGTTGACAACATACCAACATAAGCGAAGAAAAAGCAATACAATGCTGCGATGATCGGTGCAGGAATTGAGGCAAAGACAGCTCCAAATTTTCCTGAAAATCCATGTTTTGTTTAAGCACACCTATAAGAAGACAGATCACACAAAAATCCTAACATAAATCACTTACCGAGTATGGAAAAGAATATCATGAAACTCGCTGAAATCTGAACAACTCTTCGGCTGCCAACTCTTGTTAATGCTAACAAACCAGCATTTTCACTGGAGATAAATTCAAGAATGGTTATCAGGCCAATTGGTGAAAATAGGTAGTAATATAAAAACTTGAAATGTTATTTCTAGATATACGTTAGCTGCAAAAGAATCTTACACAGATACTGATGAACCACTCCCAGTGCCGAATATACCACAGAAAAGAATGCCCACTCCCTAGAATCAGAATACAATGAATAAATAACGTTAAGCTAGGTTTATAAAGAATAAACTGAAGTCTTTTATATTTTAGGCTTGAAAATGTGTTTTTGCTTTCAGTTTGTCTGTAGAAGATTGTTCGTAGGGAGGTGAAATTGATCCACACAAGGGAAAAGTATAAAATATGCAATCATATGTAATTACCTGCCAACCAACACCACGGCTTAAAATAGAAGGTGGCAGCGGAGTTGCACTTGCATACCTTGACACAGCAATAAAGCCGCCAGTGGACTGTTCAACCATAAAACTTGCATTAGAATAATTAAATCAAACACCAATTTGATCTGCCATATATTTAATTGAATCCAAAACAGATACTGTATTAAGTTATAAAAACTTAAGAATGAGAACAAGAGGAGTACGCAAACCTCTACAAGAGCAACAAATGAAGCAGCCATCATTGCAAAAGCTTCTCCAGCATCAAAAGTGGGAGCTCCCCATTGAAAAGGATATGGAACTCTTATCCTGAGAAAGTGTTAAACAATCAGCATCCAAAGTGGGAGCTTCATACTTTAACAGGATATTGATCTCTTATCCAGTGAAGCGTTAAACAATGAGAAGCAGTATGGACCAAACTAACTCGCCTTCTGTCATGTCATTCTTATTTGAATAGAAAACAACTGAGACTACCATCTATCTCTAACACCACATGAGAGGGTTCCTTCTAGAGTTGCTGGAAGTATGAATACATGAATTGTCATAACCCTATAAGAAGGAAGCACCACAAGAGAATTACCATGGAGCAGCACCTATAATGCCAGCACGATCAGTTCGACAGGTCAATTGAGTTGTGGGTCCTGTGTTCTTATAGGCCCCACCCACAGTGAGCAGATGAGCATAAACCCACACAATCGCCACCGAAAATAAAACCGCAAAGCGATCAAAGAAGAGTGTCTCACTGCGCATCAAATGAGGTATGTACTGGAGAAATTCATTAGAGTTAATACACTTCCATACAAATGTTTCAACTGAGGGGATACAGTTGATATTGTTTAATACTGTTGTGAATGCCATACCAAGGAAGGAGCAAAATATCAAATGATTGGAGATTACCTGTGAAAATATCAGTAGAATGATGAGTTGTGGTAGCCCAATCTCCACACATTTTGCAAACTACACATCCAAAGACAAAGTTAATAACCTAGTAAAATAAAAGAAGGGTGGGGAAGGAACAATTTATTAGGCAATCTCATGTCAACAAACGAACGTGTATACACATACCACAGGAAAACCAAACTCATACAGCCCAAAGCCTGACAAAGCAACCAAAGGAACAGCAGAAAGTGGACTTATGAACCTGGACAAGCAGAAAGAAATAACGGTTAACCAACAACATAGGTTCATGAGGCTTAACATATTATAAAACACAAATGAAAGTTCCAACTCAGCATGAACTTTCAGTTGGAAACCATTTAAGTCCCAATCCATATAATTTTGAATGCTTCTAGGACACAATTTAATTGTAGTTGAAGTAAGTCGGCATTTGCAGTGAAAACTTCAAAGAGACGCAATAAATGCCAGGTGCTAACCAAAACATTTATTAAAAACCTCATGAAGAAAAGCTTAACCAGGCCAAAATACCAGAATGCAACTGAAAAGAATTTATTAAGTCTAATCATATGGCAGAGTTTTAACAAACCTCGCCACATTGCGCCAAAGACCACTGAAGCCAACAACAATCTGCAGAGTTGATGCAACAATAAGTGCACCCTGGGTTCCGCGCATTATCTTCTCGAATTTCTGCATACCCATTGTAGAACATGACAGACACTGTTATGTTTACATAAAAGATAATAGTAACTGAAAACGTAAGTGAGATTACAATTAAACAACCTCCTCGGGGTTCAAAACATCACTATATCGACCAGCCAAGATGATTGAAATGGTTGTTGGCACATAGGTGTAAGATGCTCCAATCACTGCTGGTAAACGAGTCCCAAAGAATGTTTGAAGCAAGGTGTTTAATCCAGCAACGAACAGGATAGTCTGAATCATTTTTGCTTTCTCCTCCTAAAAGGATGGTGGAAAACTTACTTAGATAGCAAAAGAGTCATATAACTTGTGAATAGATCAGCATATCAGAGAGAAGATGATCAAGAATTGTTAATTGCTTGCTACTATCCTTGTAAAGACTTACATGTCCTCCTCCCATCTGGGGAACGAGAAAGGTAGGAATGAGAACTGTTGTGCCAAGCATCACCAAGTAATGTTGGAAGCCAAGTAGGATAGCTTCAGCTGCATAGAGAAAAAAATTCACACTTATACACAAAATCACATTGAGAAACAAATGCTGATGTAAGTGAAAATAGATAAATACCGAGGAAGGTGAAATAGTTTCATTTGTCATTTTCCAAAGGGATCCCAACAAACAGAACATAAATATACACAAGCAAAGATTTAAAGTTTCCACAGATTAGAAAAAATAATAGTAACTAACTGGGGTTTTAAAACTCAACGTATCAACAAAACAAAAGGTAATGACGGTGGTCAAATCGGTTACACAAGTCTGAACCAAACGACTCCAAATTGCAGTGTAAATCTTTATATAGTATAGCAGTGAAAATGTAAACAACGAGGAAAGGGAATTATGCACTCACGCCAAGGAGGAGGACTGGTAATGCAGTAGGAAACGTTTGGTAGCTGATCTTTGACTGGATGAGGCTGTAGCTCCTCCTGTTTTGGCGGTGGTGCATGTCCACCTCCTGCCATTTTCCTTTCCTGTTTTCTTCTTCTCCTTCTCTCTGTAAGACATCCAGAGTTCAGTTAACTATTGGTTTATTTACTCAGCATAATAACCGAATTTCCTGATAATACCCATATACACAAAGCACCCAAAAGAAAAAGAAATAAAAATAAGTGTTTGATAAAACCAAGAGGTCCCAATCCTCAACAAACAACTCTGCTACCATCCTAAGCAAACACCCAGACGACCAGCTTTAATCCCAGTCCCACTCAAATAAATCACCTACAAAGATTGATAATTTACAAAGAAAGGAAATCAAAAAACAAGGATGACAGCAAAGATTCTTACTTTTGATTTTGAAGAAGCTAAAGTAGCAACTTCAGAAGGCAAGCTCTTGCAGTGAGAAAACTCTCTATGGTCTCGAAAAGTTTGCTCAAGCTAAAACTCAGGGTCAGGGGTGAGTGTGCATTGTAATGAAAATGTGGCATAGGGAAGGATTTACAACCGA